CGCCCACGCCAGTCGTCAAGGCACCTGATGAGTGTATATATATATATATATATATATATATATATATATATATATATATATATATATATATATATATATATATATGTGTGTGTGTGTGTGTGTGTGTGTGTGTGAGAGAGAGAGTGTGTGTGTGTTTGTGTGTGCGTGTGTGTTTGTGTGTGTGTGTGTGTGTGTGTGTGTGTGTGTCTAATACAATATTAATCATTCTGTGCCTTGACGACTAGTTTTGGCGATGAGACCTTGACACAGTCTACGACCTTTCAAAAGCATGTACCACTTCCTGTATTGACACCCCCTCCACGCCATGACCAAAGGCTGTCAAGAATCGTCTCCTGTTGTCTTCCTTTGTCTTTTTTTTTTCCACAGATGTTTCCACTGTACGCAACACGCTCCAGTTTTCCACCTTCTCATAACACGACCATTCTCAAAAATGATGGCTGTCTTTTTCCGATGTTTGTGAAATGTTTTATTCAAACCCTGATAAGCAGTGTAGGAATACACAACATCGTTGCACAAAGCACACCCTCCGTAGTTTCTCCTACCCCCCTTACCTCTTTTTTAGACAAATGCCTTAAAACTCCACCCATACACAGACTGGCGGAAGGCCAGAAGAAACCACCCTTGTATTTCATAACAGTAAAGAATGCTATTTTTCACAAGTGTATCAGCATACGAACTGACACATGATGGAGAACTCAAGCTGGGGACAGGCATAATCGCCCACATTTGTCGGCAGGAAACTTTATGATAACGATAACGATTACGACAACGATGGCGATGGTGATAATGATGAAGGTGATAAAGATGATAATAATGCTAATGAAATGACAATGATCTGGTTATGGTGATGGTGTGATGTTGTTGAGAAATATAATCTACAGATTATTCTTCATCCTGTGCAAAAATTCATCCAGTGAATTGTTCCTTAACCCCCCCCCCCCCCCCCTCTTTTTGTTCCCTTCCCACAGCATAATATTTGCCATGATGTTTGTGAAGGGGTGGGGGCCCCTCATTTTTCCCCATGGTGCCCCAGGATTCATACAGGAAACACAAACACAAATCCGAGAGCTAGTTTACGACATCTCTTCCCTCTTTTCCCCTCATCCCTTGGCTTTAAGTGTCTAGTTTTACGACTCCGTGGTCTGGAAATAGTTGCTCCAGCTTCGGAAACCCACCGGCCCTCAGACAGGGCCGGATTAGCCATTATGCAAAGTAAGAACCTTTTTATGGCATCTAGAGAAACGGTTTCCGGCAGTTTTTGATTATATCGACGGCCATGACGAATCTCAGGGACACACAAGGAAACCTAAAATGGGACTGGAGAAGACGTGGATGGATGGGATCAGAATCAGCCGGTTCAGAAAGTTCGAATGTATACCGAGAGATAGATACTTAGAGGTTGTATTTGGAGGAGAAGGAAGGATTTCTTCAAGACAAAAAAGTTGTCGAGCTTTTCTGACACCTTTTTTCTCTGGGGAGGTCATATGATTATAGTGGGCGTTGTGGTGATAAGATGGCCCCAAGGGAAAGAAGTTTTGGTTGTAATGGTTATAGTAGTGGTGGTGGTGGTGGGAGTGGTGGGAGTGGTGTTGGTGGTGGTTTCCGTAATGGTGGTGGAAGTAGTATTAGAAGTAGTTGTTCATATAGTAATAGTATTAGTTGTTATAATATTAGTTATTGTTGTTATTATTGTTGTTGCTGAAACAGTTTTTTGTAAAAGTCGTAGTCGTTGCTCGTGCAATAGTGGTAGTTTTGATTTTGTTATAATAAAATAGAAATAGCAGTAGTTGTTGCGTATTAGTAGTTCAAGTAATAGTTGTAGTGGTAGTAGTAGCAACAACAGCAAATTGTTCTAAAAGACGAAGTAGTAGTAGTAGTGGTAGTAGCAACAATAATAACAACACCAGTAGTGGTAGCAACAGCAGTAGTAGCAAAAGTTATATTTGTAGTAGTAGCAGCAGTAGCAGTAGCGGCAATTATTCTTTCTATACTTTTAGAAAAAGAAAATCGTCGCTGGTGGTTGTGGAGGGTTGGTAGTAGTAGTAGTAGTAGTAGTAGTAGTAGTAGTAGTAGTAGTAGTAGTAGTAGTAGTAGTAGTAGTAGTAGTAAAGAGTAGGAGGGAGCAGTGGTTGTTTTATTTTTTAAAGAAATAGTAGTATTAGTTAGTACTAGTAGCAACAGCAGTAGCAGTAGGAGTTAGTAATCAGCAGTAGTAGTAGTAGTACTAGTAGTAGTAGTGTGGTGGTGGTAGTAGTAGTAGTAGTAGTAGTAGTAGTAGTAGTAGTAGTAGTAGTAGTAGTAGTAGTAGTAGTAGTGGTAGTAGTAGTAGGAGTTAGTAATCAGCAGTAGTAGTAGTAGTAGTAGTAGTAGTAGTAGTAGTACTAGTAGTAGTAGTAGTAGTAGTAGTAGTAGTAGTAGTAGTAGTAGTAGTAGTAGTAGTAGTAGTAGTGGTAGTAGTAGTAGGAGTTAGTAATCAGCA